GTATGTATGTATGTATGTATGTATGTATGTATGTATGTATGTATGTATGTATGTATGTATGTATGTATGTATGTATGTATGTATGTATGTATGTATGTATGTATGTATGTATGTATGTATGTATGTATGTATGTATGTATGTATGTATGTATGTATGTATGTATGTATGTATGTATGTATGTATGTATGTATGTATGTATGTATGTATGTATGTATGTATGTATGTATGTATGTATGTATGTATGTATGTATGTATGTATGTATGTATGTATGTATGTATGTATGTATGTATGTATGTATGTATGTATGTATGTATGTATGTATGTATGTATGTATGTATGTATGTATGTATGTATGTATGTATGTATGTATGTATGTATGTATGTATGTATGTATGTATGTATGTATGTATGTATGTATGTATGTATGTATGTATGTATGGATGCAAAATATCTGGTAAATGGGCTTTATATTACTTCAAATTCAGACAGATACACAAGGTAATAAGACTGCAAGATATCTATTCAGAACTGGCTCATTCTAAGTTTAAGATATAATTATCAGAGGTAAATATAATGTGGCCTTCAAAATGGGAATTCCAACACTGAACTGAAAAATTTACAAACATTATGAATGGTGTGCCTTGTTAATGATTTTTATTTTGGTGAGTAATCACTCATTCATTTCCTGTTCAGGCAACATACTTTTACTCATTTATTATATATACAAGTGCTTCATAACAAGAGCAAATATAGTCCTTGTAACTATCTCATGACTTCTTGTTCTTAAATTTCAAATGATTTAGAAGCTGTTTAGACAGAGTTTTGTCCCTCCAAAAAAATTATGTGGTTTATGGCCTAATGTTACAACATTATGAATGGTGTGCCTTGTTAATGATTTTTATTTTGGTGAGTAATCACTCATTCATTTCCTGTTCAGGCAACATACTTTTACTCATTTATTATATATACAAGTGCTTCATAACAAGAGCAAATATAGTCCTTGTAACTATCTCATGACTTCTTGTTCTTAAATTTCAAATGATTTAGAAGCTGTTTAGACAGAGTTTTGTCCCTCCAAAAAAATTATGTGGTTTATGGCCTAATGTTACAACCATGATATTCTGTGATAATTACTAATGATCCTCTTCACAGCATCAGACCTGGCCGTTTGAGGCGGGCAATCGCCCGCGCGCGCCTCCACGCTCGCCTCGGGTTAGCGAGGCGAGCTATTCATCGCTCGCCTCAATGTCAATTCGCACATTAACCGCCCGCCTTGGTTTTCCTTTCATTTCTCAACACCTCTTGAATTAAAATTAAAATATTGACAGGAACTTAATCCCTTATGTTTTGACTTCAAAATAACATTAATCACCTTGAACTTGAACTTGAACATCAAAATGCCAGTTTTCGAATGACTTTTAGTTTGTTATATGTTATAAAATTACGCTATTTGATTTAAGTTTGGTTCTGTTCTAACCTTGTTTGTGAGAATGTGGTTGATTTGCGACTATATGAAACTATCGTTTTATTTCTGTTGGAGAATTGTCATCTTGTTTTGTAAACTTCGCTGTTTAAATACCAATGTTGCATTTGTTGTTTATTTGTACACTTTTATGGACGATTTTCAATAGATTGAAAATCGCCCGCCTGACTTTAATGAGGAGAGCGATGCACCGCTCGCCTGCTAAAATGCTCACGGCCAGGCCTGCAGCATATGTGCATCCAGTGAAATAGCTATCAGGAGGCAAGCTGGGCCACGTGTTCCCTCCATGAGAATATAGTGCCCCCCAGCATGAACTCCTTTCTAATTTCCATTTCATATAATTAAAATATACTTAATTTCAATATGTATAGTTTTATTTGATATCATGAGTACAACAACAATTGTTTAATGCTCTAAAACCCACTGCTGATTTGATATCAGAATATGCTCTAATACCCTTCTGTGGCATCAGAATATCTATGAGCTGTATCCCAATGATACCTAGCTATGCCAATGTTTGCATTCAGTTTAAATCTTATATAGATGTGAGGATACATACAGTATTGGTTTATTAACCCATCTACAAAAGCCAACTTATACTACTAAAATAGAAAAACAGACCTTTTTATCGACAATAGCAGCAACTGGCATACAGTCAAATACTTCGTTTACAGCATTCCAAACATTTGTTCCTAAACGTTCACCAAACTTTCTTATGCATTCCCTGAAACAAAAATATAAATACCATGTAAAATTTCACAGACTATCCACTACTAGTTCTTTTCCTTATCTTTTCTTCCTCTACTTTATTATCAAAAAAATTTACTTTTATACAGTCTAAGACTTACTGATGAAAGGTGAACATTTTCTGGATGTCGCGAACCTCATGATTGCCACGCAAGAGGAAGAACTTTCCAGTGGCCTGAAGCTTTTGAGCAAATAAATATGAGACAACCTGGAATCATAAAAGGTTAGCTTTAAAGATCAGAAATACGAAGAGGAGGTCTTACACATG